CTACTTTGGACAATCTAAAATATAAAACATATTCTGGGTTGTTTAAAACTTTTTTAGTTTACTACATAATTTCATTCATGTTCTTTCATAGCTTGGATGTCTTCTTTATTAATGTACAATGTTAAAAATAATAAAAAATAAAGAAAAACCACTAAAGAAGAAGGTGCATCCAAACTTTTGACTGGTTGTGTATATGTAATGCCGGGTTCACACTGCACGATTTTCAAAGTCGTTGGATCACCGTTGATTTCACACTGCACGACTATCTGGGGTAGCATTGACTGGGACTGCATGACTTTACAATAGGAAGAATCACTGACAACGCTGTCTGGTGAAACTACGATTCACAACCAAATGCACGTGATAAGGAAATAACGCAAGATCATACTGATATTGTGGTCCAGAACTCCTCGCCGAACTTCCCGCTGCCCTGTATCTTGCTCTCTCAATGGCTGTAGATCATCGCCAATGTTTTTTCAGTCAGAACTCATTTCACACAGCAATCGATTTTGAATCGCTCACAGGTCCAGATATTTAGCATGCCAAATATTTCACAGGCTTTGGCGACTCTGAGATTATGTCTTTGATAATTCACACTGTGTGATTGTCACTTGCGTGAACGAGCACAGATTTGCCTCCGATTTCGGGCATTTGTCTGCGATTTCACAAAACCTGTTGGCGAGTGTAAATCAGGGCTAAAATCGTGCAGTGTGAACTCGTCATAAGCCCCACCCCATCTGAACTTTAGACAAAATGACAATGCAACTAATTCAGATACTTAGGTAAGTGTACATGATTCGAAATCATTGTTCTCAGTGGGTTTCTTGAAGTGGTAGAGGTGAAAAGGAAATATTTGTTGGCAAGCGTCCGGGTCGGTGGCTGTAGCATAAGTGGCAAGGTCAAGGATTGTCGGTCAGCACCATGTACAAGAAATCATGTTCAGGTCAGTCTGGTTTTCTATTACTATCACAGATGTTATCAACAGAACAGTACACTTGATTGCAAAAGCTTCAAGTACCTCTGTGTACCTGGAATTTGCAAGGGTCAGTTTCTGACTGATGGATCCCTTGTGCTCTAATATATCTTTATGAAGGTAAGTTGAAGCCCGGGGCTCACAGGAACTGGCTGGATGTTGCTGGCTGTCAGCGTACAAAAGCTGATCCTTACCGAGTGTCCTTTCTTGATCTGATCTAAGAGGTCAATGGTGGAACAACACCCAGTGGCGATGGCAGAGACAGGTCATCTAGCAGAATGCCTGAGGTACCACTTTCATGCCAAGGAGGAAGTACTGTCCAAATCGCTCCTATCCTTCATGACTGAGCTCTTCAGTGATCATCAGAGCAGGGGATGCTAAAGGGTTGAACATGCTCAACCAAAAAAGGCAAGTTCTGTTGTTGGCTCTAACTTGGAGATAATTGGCTGAGTACTGTCTAAATTAATAAACATCATGGACTATGTCTTTTATTCTCTCCAAAATCATGCCAGCTGAAATGAGTTGGTCATTCCTGACTACAGCTGTAATAGCTATGTTCTATTGTAAAATATTTTAGAATATGATGTAATGGCAAAACTGAATTTTCAGCAGCCAGAAACAAGTGGAAACATGGCCTGTTTTTTCAAGGATTCTTTTGTGAATAGAAACATAAAGGACAACATTTATTTGAAGTAGAAGTCTTTTGTAACATGTCTTTAAATGTCATTATTAAATGTTTTTAATTGACCGTTATTCAGCAAATATGCATTTAATTAATCAGAAGTATTAATTTATTTTCAAACAAACAAACACAAACAAACAACAACAACAAAATACTAAACCCAAACTTTTGTAGAATGGTAGTGTAAGTGCCTCAAAATGGAGTATGGCATTTGTATACATTAATATTAAAATTCTGGCAACTATTGATAAGTCTATGAATATTTTAATGCCGATACATCATATTTACGTTCCATAATATTTTTTTCTGAAAAATAAAATCAATCATTCACTGCAAGTGAATTTGAGCATCACAACATTTATAATGTAAAGAATGAAAATGGAGATTTTGAGATTTGCTCATTTTACATTTAACAGGGTTATTAAATTATAATTTCTTTCAAAGATTTCCTTTGCCTTTGTCATCATAAAACACACATTCTAAATGTAAAAAATAATGAACATGTACAATCTCCCGCTTTGATGAAGTGAGAACAGCAGGCATTTTCCACCAAAAAATGGGATTGCTTTGGGACATATAGAATACATTCAGAAAGATTTATTCCAAATGTCTTCAGTGCCAGAGTAGCACATTACTCTCTAATGTGTTTAAGCGTCTGTATTTTAAAAAATTATAATATGACCGTAGGATAGCAAACTCCCAAGCGTTGTATTCTGAATCATAATGCTAACAACCATCATAAACACATCAAATAATCTTTGATAAACTGTATTTTGGAAATACAAATATGAATGAGCATTTTAACTTTTTTTTTTTTTTTAGGGCTAATCAGTATGTGTGAATGGTAAGCATCAGTAAGTATGTGTGGATAATCAGGATAATCTCTGGAGTCTGTCCATATCATTTGAGATTATTTCAAAAGATCCATGCAGATGTTAAATTATTGTGATTTTTTTCCTTCTATTTTTAAATTTGCATGACATTCCAAAGCTGGAATACAAAAAGTGAAACAAAAAGCATAAAAAATAAAAACTAGACAGTGTTGCAATGATTATACTGTATATCTTCGTACTGGCAATCAAAAAAATTATTTCATTAAGCAACATTCATATGCAGCATTATCAAGAAAATGGCAGCCCCAAGGTCAGGATGTGTGGACAAATGGGTGAGAAGATTGAAGAAGTGCTTTAATGGAAGGATATTTCCACGCTCCGACCCTCATACCCTCTCTGATTAAAGCAATTTCCCGGCACACACATCTTTTGTGTGTTTGTTTGTGTGTGCATCTACCTGCAAACCTCCAGCTCTGCAGCTAAATCCTAACCCTCTTCACATGCTTATCAACCTCCTGCCAAACTGGAAAACCTCTCAGCACCTCAAGTACCAAAAAAAAAATTTGTGTGAGTCTGTATGATTAATTTTCGAAACCTGGTCTGAGAGCGGTTATTTTTGATTAGATGCACTGTATGTGTGCGCACATGTGGCTATATACGTACAGTACATGCACCTTGGCTTATATCCGTTGACACCTGAGATTTGTGTGGGCCTTCGTGTGTATATGTGAGCGCGCCCGAGCTGTGTGCATACCTCTAATCCAGTTTCATCCTAGAGCCTCTTAAATGCTGAAGTGCTGCATTCACAGTGCAAAAGGGACCATCCAAAACATTGAGTGCAGCCACTACATTTGCATTGATTTATTAACTCCTCAGTGTATCTGGGACACCGTTTTAATGTCTCCTGAATTGTTTGTGTGATATATTTTTAGAATGTGACATAACTGGTTTATGTGAAGTTTGGTGCTCGCTCAGTTTTGGATCAGTGGAGATGTATTGCTTTGTGACTCAGTTACGAGCTGAAGATTAAATTTTCTCAGTAGGTTCAGTTACAGTGAAGTACAGTTTGAGGAGCATACATTTACCTCATGTAAATTCAATTGCCTTTGGCCTCTTTATTTTATTCTGCTCAAAGTATGGTGCTAATCCTCGGCGAATACCTCCTCCTTACCTGTTTATTTGCGTATCACTGTTTGCTTAAGCTCAGTATTTTAAATCTGTCACAGCACCGTGGTGGACAGATCAGCGCCTGTGTGTTTGCACAGCGTGTGAACCATGATATTCATAAGCTCCATTGTCGCTCGTTTATGTGTTTTGTGTATTCTGAGATATCAAGCTGTCACCACACAAGGATGCAGTCATTATTCTTAACTCAGTCAGTGACTCCAGTGTGACAGTGTGCAGCAATTTCTGTTATTCTCCCTTCTCCTGGATTCAACGGCTCACTGTTTGCTCCTGATGCCTGCCCTTCTCTCTCTTGCTCGTTCCTGTTCCCTCTATAGACCTTTTCACACTTTCACATTCGCAAAGCTGAAGGCTTCAGTAGTAGGGTAAAGGAACTTCTGCTTTATCAGTGGCAGTGAGAAACAGCCTTTCCACCGTTTTCAAATATTTCTCAGGGGTGACGAAACAAAATGATTTCATGTTCTACGGCTGGATAAAAGCAGTTATTTTATGGTTTAAAGCAGGAGTACCTAATGTAACACACTTAAAAATATATGAATATCATTGCATTAGACACAAAATATCAAAGTACACTAACATCTCTTATGTTCACCAAGGCTGGATTTCAGATAAATTTCAGATAAAGGCATATTTCTAGCCCCAACCAAATGAGCTTGAATGCATAATGACCAAATGTATACAAGATAGACTGCAGATGTGATTTTGGATTTGGATGCAGTGTACATAATAGCAAAGATGGAAACATTGCTGTGTCTGCAACTACATTACGTTTGAAGTACAAAGGAAAATAATGTGCTGCAACAGCATCAGTGAAATGTAAGAAGTAGCATTAGTTTTTAAAACGTCTCTTTGGACTTGAGTTGGCTGCATGAAATCCTCTGAGAGTCACCTGAATAGTGTACAACTCATCGTTTTTCTTCATGGACCGTAACAATCTGTCTGAGAATCACCTCGCTATTTATTTCTTCAGATACTGTTGTACATTTAAAATGGAAGCTAACACTAGCAGAAAGGTACCATGTCAAGCTAAGGAAACAGTTTAAAATGTTGAGATTTTATTGTTCCAGTTCAGCTAAGATAGTTTAGTTGATTTATCCGAACTGACGACTGTCCATTGGCAAGAATGCAGGTGGAAGTACAATTACCCAACTATCAGAGTTGGATGTGACAACACATGGTTTGTATTTCCCCGCATTTCTTTATCTAACTTTCATTTTCTGTCTTCACTCCTACTCATGTTTCCCTTTCTCCTTTTCTCTTCCACCACCTGTTCTTTCTGGCTCTCCCTCCCTCTTGCTCTCTCTCTATCTCTTTTTTTTATAGGATGCCAATTCTTCATTTTTCCAGTTTGGGGCCTCCCTCCAGCAGGAGGCGCTGTTGATGCTTTCTATAATGGAGGAGTACGACTGGCACGTCTTCTCGGTGGTCACCACCAAGTTCCCAGGTTTCCAGGAGTTCATAGCCACTGTCCGCGTCACGGTGGACCACAGCTTCATTCGTTGGGACCTTCAGAGCGTAGTGACGCTGGACGGCGTCGGCGAACCTGAGGACCGAGCCCACGTGCAGCTTAAACGCATCCAGTCGCCTGTCATCCTCCTCTACTGCTCCAAAGACGAAGCGGCGTTGGTTATGGAGGAAGCCCGTTCGCTAGGGCTCACCGGGGCTGGCTTTGTGTGGATTGTTCCTGGTCTGACGACAGGAAATCTCGAACAAACCCCGGAAGCCTTTCCGATGGGGATGATATCTGTGGCATATGACGAATGGGATTATCCCCTGGAGACGCGTGTGCAGGACGCTGTGGGAATTATCAGTTCTGCAGCTGCTGCCATGTTCAGAGAGGAAGGTCAGATACCTGACGGAACGGCTAGCTGCTACGGCCAATCAGAGAAGCCGGAGGTGCCGGCAAGTGCTCTGCGCAGGTAAGCACGGATTGCTTATGGTTGCATGCTTGAAAATCTGTTTGAAATGTAATGAAATGGATGAACATACACAAATACAGAGCTAACCCAAGGCAAATCCTTTCATATTTACTATGCAATGGTAGTTATACTTTGAGAAAGAGAGATTACATCAACCTTAACCTGATAAAGCACAATCTTTTTCAAATTCTGTAATCTCAACATACTTATGTAGATGCTTCATGCTGTGTCTTTTGGCTCGCCTTTCTGTACTACAGCTTGGCCACCTACTTCTTTGGGCAAGCAGTTCCTTTTACAAGCCTCAAACTCACTGGCTAACAGTACTCTTTCTTGTTACTCAATCCAGCAAAGTGGCTAACATGGGTTTCCAGAGTGCATTATTCCGCTCTGCAATAGGTGCACTTAGAAAGGAGAATAGTACTTAAGGAATGAGTAGTACTTTTGACATGTGTCAAAATGATCTTCACTACATGAGTGGACTAAAAAAAGCTGTTTTATTGTATGTAAGTGACCCTTTCATTGTAGCCGTCATGTTGAGATAACTTTGAATGAGTTGTAAAGAAAAATTTCCAGAGAACAATTTTTCAACTTGTGCACCGGTCAGTTTGTTATCTGGATGCTTTTTAGAGCTTTTGGGGCCAGAAGAGAAGCTAAAGCCATCATATTGGTTATTTTGGAAGACAAATCAAGACAGACAACACACCAAGGGGTCAAGGTTTGGCTGGTTAGCATGGTCCAGTTAGCCCCTGGTTGACTTGTAAACAATTGTGTCCGGAACTGTGTGGCTGCGAGCAAAGATGGCAGCATTCAAATTGCATACTTCCAAGAAGACTGCGCAACTGGCATTGAAACGAATGCTAACGGACAGCTTTCTCCAGGCATTACAGACCTCCACGCACTACAATACACAAACTCGGCACCCTTCGCAAGGCACAAATTCATGCACATGCTAACCCATAGTAAGTCCAGTCTTGACAAGATGTCAGCAAACAATGTGGAGGAAGGTCTTGCGATTTGCAAAGAATGGGGAAAAAGAGCCAAACAATGTGGACGAGACAGTGGTTGAGCAGACGTGGGCAGTAGCTAGCTGCCACTTTTATGTTTTTTATGTTGTTTTTGGTTTCCCACTGCTTCGCCCTCCTTTTGCGCTTTTCCCCCTGGAAATCTCATTGGCGGGTTGACGTTGCTGCTTGGAGACGCATAAATGCAAATATTTGACAGTTCGGCTAGATTTCAAACAAGTATTTCAGCCTATTATGGAGGGGGGTCTTATGTTCATAAAGGTTGAGAACCACTGCCCTAATCTAGATATTGTAAAACTGTGTAACTTATATTACATAATTATAAAATGATTCAATATTTACTTAATTCATCCTGTGGGTCCTTGAAATGTCTGAAATGAAGTTTTTCAAGTCCTAAATATCTTAAATGGTATAACAAAAGTCTTAATTATAATTTTAAGAGGTCACCGCATAAACACATTGCATTACACCAAATACACAACATAATGTTCTTTTTAACAACGTCATATGACCCCTTTAAATTTGGGGTATTAAAAAACAGAAATTGTGATGCATATGAAACTTCAAAAGACTTTGACTTAATTGGATGTGAATGCTACATGTACAAACGCAGCACTGCGGATGCTGATTCTACAGGCTTGTGGTTCCACAGCAGTTCAAAATCAATGAATACTATACATTTATGCCATTTGATTGCTTAAGATCTACTTTTGATAAACTGTGACTGAGAGTGCATATTTTATTTTCGTCATCTTTTTGAATGAGCGGCTGGCAGTAGTAAATCATAGACATTTTAAAACAAAAGTCCTAGTTTATTTCAGGCTTGTTTGAAATTAAAAGGAAAGAAAAGACCAATAACCATTTTTAATACATTTGGTAGATATAGATTTTACTAGTGTCAGCACAATAATCTGTTTATTACCTTACATTATTAACTTTATCAGCAAACTTCAATATCGGTTGACCTCTAATTCATACAGTATGTATTGATATATTGATACATAAACAAATTTTAGTACATCAGTATATACTGAATATGTTTTGAGTATTTTAAACTTGCAGTAACTTGCTGAATGTGTTTAATTAAGTAAAAGAAAATTAAATTTATTTATTTTGAAATTGTGTTGATTTGTTCTATTTGGACAACCTGTATTGATTTTATTTGTGCAAAGGTCTTGAATTTAATTTTAAAAACCCTGCAGATACCCTTTATTTACTGTTGCTTAAATTATTTTTCTTGGCTTTTAGGTCTCAGCTTACTAAGCAGTGACAAACAAGGAGTTTTTTTTCAGGCAACACATTTTCTTGCTCCATTTGAGAAGTGCTGGATATTTAAAGAAGCACAAAGATTGCTATTTTGGATCCCATTTAATTCCTCCTGCCCAATTCCTTTTATATCTCAATGATTGGATTGGTTTTCAGTTCCGTTCTGAGCTGCAAGGGCAACCTTGTGATGTCTACATCGGCCAGGAAGACGTCCGTATCGCACAGGGTAGTCGGAAACAAAATCTACTGTTAGTTTAGATGGCATAGGCACTTGCTGTGGCTGTTTTTTTCAGAATGCACAGTTATCAGGAGTTACCATGGGTTACCATCAGTAGCTGTTTGCAGTGTTGGTATCCGTCTGCTCCGAGTAGGTGTTCCTTTTGATCTCTCCCTCGTTGCTAAGGCTGTCTGTATCTGGGACACTGCAGACTCTTCAATGTGGGAACATTTTGTATGATGCCACCATCCACAGAGCAGATTTAACCTTCGAAATGCCTCCAAGAAAGATGGATAGATGTGTTGTGATACTTGTAATAGCAAAGTACACAAATATAGTATAGTGTGAGCAGCAGAATTTATGTAACACAGAATGATCATAAAAGAGAATTATGGTGTTGTAATCAGAAATATTGGTGTGATGTTCTGTAAGATGTCAGTGAAATTTGGAGAGTATAAAACAGTTGACTGTATGTCTTAATGCCGTCATACGTATAGACAAACCAAAAATACTGCATCTGAGTAGCAGGTGTAGTTCTGGCTTTTGTCCTTCTGTCTGCCCAGAGGCTAAACCTTGTTTCTGACAAATGTACTGTACGTGTTGTCTTAATTAAGACTGTTACTCCCCTCCCGCACACACGCATATGTATACATACAGCTGTCCTTGAACGATTATGCCAGCAATTAGTCCCTATATAACAGACCATCATATATTGTTAAAAGAAATATGCTGATATAGTATATTTAAGCAATATAACATAAGCAAGTAAGTGTTGTTGTTCTGAATATCTGAGCATATGTTATAAAAGTTTGTTTCAGTTTGATTGGTGAAGCAGTGTTTCAACTTTTCTCTGTTTGTATTACTCACACGCTTATCTGTGTTTGCGCTTTCCAGACAGACTGTCTATGCATTAGTAGTAACAGTAAAAAGTGATTTTTTTCCCCCCCAAAAAACATTGATTCATTCTGGAATGAAACAAATGACTGTCTTTACGAGTGAATCATTGAATCATTCATTCAAGCGATTTATTTCAAAACACTGATTCATCTAGCAGTGAAGCAAGTGGCAGTTTTTATATGTGAATTATTGAATCTTTCACTGAATCAATTTTTTTTTTTTTAAATGAATAACTCTCACTAGTAAATCATAAATGAAGCACCTCTACTGTGTTGATTGGAATAGGGTTGTCATGATATCAACATTTCAACATTGGAAGGGAAAAAAATTAACTAATTTATTAATGCATTTTATACTGCATGTACAAAATGATTAGTGAATGAGACCTAATGAGTTTGTATGATGGTGACTCTTAAGGTAACTTGTTCCATATATGAGAAGCCTTAACATCATAATGATCTGGAAAATATCATGTGAAGACACATAAGATATACAGTGAAAATTATTTCTCTCTTCTTGTACATAACATATTTCATATGACAATAAAATTAAAAAATGAAGTCATTGTCAGTAATAATGAAGTTCTATTTTAACTTATTTTAATAGTAATTTACAATAATTAAAAAACATTCTCCAGTTATTTTTATATATTTAGTTAATTTTCTAATAAACGTATATGTAACATTAAGTGCAATTTTTTTGTTCATATTAATATTGTTGTTATTGGACATATTTTCCAAATCTAATATCGGTCGACCTCTTCCCATTATTATTACATGATCTGAAGATCCCCATTTTTGTGAGGGTTATGAATTTTTGAACGTGATGAATTGGATTTAACTATAGCAATTTATAAAAAAAAAAAATTTTTTTAAGTAATATCTGACAAGGGTTGCAAGGTCCATATAAGTATACAGACAGAAGTTGTTACATCACAACTCTTTTTGTTGTTGCCATTTGTTCTTTTTTATAATCAGATATGGGCTCATATGCATATTTTTTGTGTAGTTTTGCACATCATTAATCAAAACGGCAGTCCCTGTTATTTTCTGCATCCCTAGTTGTTAAGGTTAACTTTAGTTAGTTGGAGAATTCTGTAAGTTCTGCCTGTGTTTGTGTTTATCTGACTGTTGTTGTGAGCCCAACACAGACCTGCTGTATCTGCTCAAGCGCAAACCCAACAGCTCCTTTCAATAAGCACCTCCTGCAACATTATCACCTTTACACAGAAGACGCTGCCACGAGGCTGACAAGCGCTTGAGTGATTTCACAGCCTAAGGCAAAAGTGTCTGCCTTTTGTTTTGCCAGAGTTGTGGCAACTCCTTTACTCCAAATTATTCACAGTCTGACACATTAACTGTTAATGGCATCGATTATCATCTGCTCATCTAGAGCGCTGCTGTTTGGTTTCGTGTTTCCCCCTCACTCAGTTTAATGCGGTCACATGTACTGTATTTCTCACTGTACAGATTTAAAGTCGACTTCATCTGGGGGTATTTTCAACGCTTGATATACTTTTTAAACATTAAACACCTTAGCGGTGCGAGCCCTGTATTACGGGAACATGAATCTGTTTTCCATCAGACATTTTCCTCTGC